GCAGTTTCCTGGGTGCCTCCCTGCCCTGCACTGTTTCAAAAGAGAAAAACACAAGTATCCACCTGGATCTTACTCAGTAAACCATGTGGATTCAATATATCTCCTGCAGTCCACTATAACCTTCTATGTTAGGACCTCTGAGCTGCATTCTCCTAAACCTCTCGGGGCACAATTCCCTGGTTATTCAGTGGTTTACTGATGAATGACAATGTTGAATTTGTTTCCATTCTCAACTGACTAGATCTTAGCACTGATTTTCCGGCAGCCGAGTAGCAGGGCTGTTTTGCTGAGCTGAAAAGATTATTGAGAAAGGCTGCAGATGTTACAGGCTTTGCTGTCTCTTCCTTTAAGTCTTGTAAAACTGGAAGGGAGCAAGGCTGTTCCCCAGGGACCTGTACAAGGGCTGATTTCTATGGTGGCCGGGAAGTGCAACAGGGTTCAGATCTGCTGGGCCTCAGCTGGACAGTGTTCATTTTTACTGAAATGCCCAAGATGCTCAGATCTGTGAGTCCAGTACCGTTCACCTCACCTGAGCCGTTTCCTTTTAAAACATGCTTAGGCGAGATTAAAACTGGAAGCAGCAGAATTTATTCACCTTAATGAGACTGAGGTACAGTAATGCTGTTTCATTGTTCATATCAGCTTCACAAATCTCAATCTGTTTTGTGATGGAATTGATGTTCTTGGTGTTATGTATCCTCAATATAGTATAAAGAACACATTCTCAATGTTACTAAGTTGTCTTTTTTCCACATATTTATCCATGCCTCACCAGGCAGACTGCAGAGATGCTTCTGTTTCTTCTTGCACAGATGACTGCAGTGACTTGCTTACTGGTGGTACTAAAGCAATTCTTGACAAGATCAAATACGTTCAAAATACAGGGGACTGAACTGTAACTAAAACTACATTTATTTACCAAAACTAGTTATTAAAATTAAAAGTAAATTACAGTTTATTCAATTCTTAGCCATGAGTAAGTAATCTATCCTGTCTTTTCACACTTGCAGAGGTATACAGTGTTTACGGCTCCTTCTGCTAAAGCTGACTGCTCAAGCTTTAAATCAAACTGAGCTAAGTTATGAGACAAACAGGCTGAACTTTCTCATTAACAAGAATAACAGAGGTGCGTATTGTGTGCCCTTTTTCCATGGGGAGAGCATTATCTCAGGGGCATATTTACACACCCATGCCATGGCTGCTCTGCAAAGGAAGGGGAGCCTGGAAAGGGGCAGGCTAATGCTATACTGTAGCTCACCACAAAGTTCTCTGCACCTGTGTCACATGTTCCTCATCACAGATCCAACACACAGGTATTGATGGTGGAGCCACGCAAGTGAGCTCTTCAAATAATAAAGCAATTAATGAGCCGTTATGATGTATGCAGGTTTTTATTATTATACAGGAGACAAAAGCACAGAAGCCGATAACTCTTAGCATCCGATATAGAAGGGCTGTGGGTTACAAGGTCTTGTTCTGTAAAAATTAATCACTCATCTTCAGATCTTCAAAACCCTGTTCGTCTTGATAATTAATGCTTCTGCTTTGAGCTTAACCTTATTAAACAAGGAGTTTAAAAACAGCTCATATTTAAATATTATCAGAAGAGTACATTGTCATTACATACAGTATTTAAAACAGTTAATTATTATATGCTCCTGTGTTTCTCATTGCCCTTCTAATTATAGAACTGTCAGCAGAGATAATTTGATGCAAAGCTGTAGCTCTTGTGAGCCCAACAGTACTGACTCTTTGAGTCATCCCTTTCTGGAAATGATCATAAATGGACAGAAGTCATGTGCTTCAAAGCCTTTTTGTTTTTCTGTAAACATAGAGTCATAGTCCTGGCACCATCACGGTAGGCGAAAGTATCAGTGTGTGCAAAGTGGTGGGGTAGATCCGGGCGTCAGTGTTGCCAGTAACTTAAGACAAGGAGCTGTTTTTCTGGGAGCTGAGAGACCTCCCATCTCCCCTGCTTTCTGCATACCCAGCATTTCCTGCAACCACAAGCTTCCATTCCTCCTCATCTCCCTGTTACCCACCTTAATCCCGATCCCCACAGTGATTACATACAGCTGGCAGCTCAGCCTGGGCTCCTCAGAAAAGTCCGGCTAATGACCCCAGTTTTCCTGTGCCTCGCAGATTTTTCCTCCGAGAGCCTCACTCTGCTGCATGGCTTGGTGTAAGCAATCCCCTGGACAAACACTCTATGCAACACTCACTGCAGGACCCCTCCTCCAAACCCCAGACTCCTGGCCTGCTCGCCACACACTCGCCTTCCCCAGCTGTGTGTACGGCAGAAAAGCACCAGCCTCTCAAATACAGTCTATTCTCCTGTCTTAAGCCAGCACTTTACAGGAAATAGGCATAACAGCATGACGTTCATTGTGTGCTCACCTGTAACTCAGTTTCTAACCTGCAATTTGTACCTGTGTATCATTAATACACAAGTATTGTGTATTACAACACAGGGCATGTTGAGGATGTCCGGGCCTTGAAGGCTTCTGTGTCTGTGTCTTAGGTTCACATTCAGGGTGCTTTGCTGTTTTCTGAAACAGTTTTTCCAAGAGCAGGCTCTTATCAGTGTGCTCACGTGCTGTGGAAATCATGGAAGATCTCAGATCTCGCACTACAGTTGGTTTTATGCCTGCTCCCTTTTTCGAGAAACAGGCTTTGTTCTGCTTCTCAGAAAATGTGCCCTCACCAAAGCCACTGTGATTAATTACGATTCTTAATCCCGCACTTCGGTTTTTCCCATTACTAACCTTGTACTTCATTAATGCTCTGTCTCTGTGGAGCAATTAAAACCCTACCTGGTGAAAATCCAGAGAACACTCAGTGTCGAATGAGTTGGCTCCCACAGCTGTGAGGCTGATAGCAGCATCAACAGGGTTCTCACCCAAAGGGCTCTTCAGCTTTGCTTCTTCCAGTGTCCATGACGCATACAGCAGAGATCCACCCTACAGACGCCAGCAATTGGAAAAGGAGTTGAGTTTGCGATATGTTCATTATCCTAAATCCGGGGCAGTCTCTGGATTGTCCTCTACCTAGAGCGCAAGAGCCGGGTTATGAACGGGAACGAGACAGAGAAGCATTATGACACCTGCTGTCATCCCACCAGCTTCCAGACATCTCCTCTTCGGAAGCTGAACAAGCGGCACATTGCTGCTCTCAGAATTGTCATTTTTAATGAGCAAGGGGAACACCCTTTTCTCACCTCCAGTTAATGGCTGCTGGATTACTCCCACGTTCACTGAGGCTTGTTAAGTTTGACAGGCAGGGTCCAGGTCATCGTGTCTGTGGAATGAAGGGATATAGAAACCTCTATTAGAAAACCTCTGAACAATCATGACGCTGGTAGCCCAAGGTCACTTTTTCAAACCAGTCTTCCATGTCACAGGAATTTCTGGAAACTAACAGGTCTCTAGAAGTTATGGGTTGATAGCTTTATTTTGGGCTATTTTTGTCAAATCTTTTCCACTTATCTGACTCAGAAACAGGTTTGATGATTTCATACGACTCCAATACAATTTTTAGAGGGCTTTTCCCAGTGAGTTCATAAGCTAAAATACACAAAACAAGAACATAAGAGTGTATCTTACTGCCAAAAGGATATTCCATGTTGTCTGTCAGTATTAGTTAGCTGAAAAGCAGTCAAAGTACTTCTTAATAGAAACCTTGCTTTTTTAACTTTGCCTAATTATGCAGCGTGTAAACTGGTGCTCAGCAAGGCCTACACAGGTAAACATTCTGAGTCAGAGAGAGTAAGCAGTAACTGATCACTCACAGTGCAAGGATCTACATTGTGTGTGCAATTGTATACTTCGGGTGGGGGGGTTAAAAGTGCTTAATAAGAAAAAAGACTAAGGAAAGGAGATGTAAGCCTTTCCTGTCAGACT